CCGGCTGGCGGGGAGCTGTCCCGGCGCGTTGGCACTAGCAGCGGTCGCTTGGGGTTGGGTTTTGGTGGGAGCGGGGCAGGCAGGGAGCTGTCCCTCACCCCCCACCACCCCCGAGAGGAGGGGCGTGACGTGGGGCAGCGATGGGAGGAAACGTGCTCGTGTGAGACTTCTGCTTCCTGACTCCTGCAGGCCGACCTACGCCACCCCCAAAGTGCTGGAGAAGGCCGGTCTCACCATGGCCGACATCGATGTGTTCGAGTTCCACGAGGCTTTTGCCGTAAGTCCTCCGAGCCCTGAGGGTGCCCCAGCTGTAAACCGCTGTTCTGGGCAGGTGTAATCCTACCTTTGTGTCTAAGTGCAAGTCCTGTCGGTAATTTAAGTATAAAACGTTTTTACATGGACACAGTCCGTGCCAAGGGTGGCTTGTGTCACTTGCAGTCCCCAAAGGAACACAGATGCCTCTAAAATAATATATATATAAAAAAAAAGATAATCTTACTTTCCCAAGACCCCCGTGTGAGAGAAACCCCTTCTGCACGCCCTCTGCGGATGGGGCTGGGGCCACCCGTGGTAATTTAAGTATAAAACGTTTTTACATGGACACAGTCCGTGCCAAGGGTGGCTTGTGTCACTTGCAGTCCCCAAAGGAACACAGATGCCTCTAAAATAATATATATATAAAAAAAAAGATAATCTTACTTTCCCAAGACCCCCGTGTGAGAGAAACCCCTTCTGCACGCCCTCTGCGGATGGGGCTGGGGCCACCCGTCGCCCTGGCGAGGGGGCTGTTCTCTGGAGGGCCCCTTTTCCTGGCCGAGGCTGGCGAGCGGGGCCAGTCCTGGGAAATGCGCCCCTCCGTTGGGGCCGGCGCTGCCCTCGGGAGATCTCCTGTTTGCCAGCGCTGTCTGCGGGCTCTCCTCGCCCTCTGCCACCGCCCTGGCTACCGCTGCCCTCCCCTCCCTCCCAGGGGCAGATCCTGGCCAACCTGAAGGCGATGGATTCGGACTGGTTTGCGCAGAACTACATGGGCAGGAAGGCCAAGGTGAGGCGCGGGCAGGACGCTTTCCTCTTCCGAATCCCCCCCGTTGCGGCGGGGCTCGC